ACGCAGGACATCGCTACGCATGGGGCCATGTGTGCGCTGGCGTCCCTGGATCGGCCGGCCCTGCAGAGCCTGGTGATCGACTCGCCGGGATTTCGGGAGCACCTGGAGTCGGTGCCCGAGGTGGGCGCCGTACGGGGCTGGGCGCGGTTTCCTTGTAGCCCCGGCACTTTGGTGGGTGGGAGACGTGTGGCACGGCGCATCGCTGAAACTCAGCTCATCTCCTCCTCTACCCCGCCCAGATTCGCGACGCCGTGAACTCCTTCCATGCCTCGCGCTTTGCGGACTGCCTCCGGCACCTGGAGGCGGCGAGGTGGGCGTGCTTGGTTTGAGGACTGAGGGCATGATACTGCACCAGCCTGGCATTGGGCGACAGCGGAAGTGGTGTCATGCGGCCACCCTTGGGAACGCATTGCAGCGCGGTCCACTCTCCTCGATCTGTTCCAGACGACACCATCCTTGGCATGCGAATCTGCGCCATCAACCCCTTTGCCTCCCAGCCTCCCTTCTTCAAGCAAACTCCCTCGTGTTCCACAGGCCCGGCATGGAGCTGTCGCCGCACCTGGCCCCCCACCTCCCCGCACTGTTCAAGGAGATCCGGCGCCGGGGTCTGGAGCTCCACGCCCGCCCCTATGCCACCCTGGCCCTGTCCGGCATGGGCGCCGCGCTGGGCCTGATCCCCGCCGATCTGGAGGCGGAGCTAGAGGCGCTGATCGTGGGCGGGCGGCTGTCCGCGCGCATCGACGGCGCGGCGGGCGTGCTGCGCGCGCACCGCCCCGACGCGCGCGCTGGGGCGCTCGGTGCCGTCCTGGCGGCGGGAGAGGAGTTTGTCGCGGCCAGCCGGCTCCTGGCGCTTCGGGCCTCGGTCCTGCAGCACGGTCTGGTGCAGGTACTTCTTGTGGCTGTCTATGTGGAAGAATGGGGGGAGGGCACGGGAACCGAAGGTGGGCACGGACTGGTGCTGCGCGCTGGGAGTTGGACGCTGGGCATGTATGCGTGGCGGCGCACATGGGCGGCGTCGACACTAGGGTTCAATGTAGTGTGTGCCGCGCTGTTGGCCCGGCATAGCTGTGGGGCCGGGGCTGGCACCGAGGGCTGAAGGCGCACCGGGCAATGGTGCAGGCGAGAAACTACATGTTATCAAGCGCAGAGCCTCCCACATGACACTCGCCCGATGCCAGAGGAGCCTTGGCGCTGGCCCGGGAGCTGGAAGGGGGGATGCGCAGCGACATCCCAGGCAAAGGGACAGGTGACGCTCTCGGGAAGGAGTGGTGGCATGAAGATGAGGCGCGCAGTCGCAGACAGAGTGCATGCTAATCACATGCATCTCTTTCCCTTGCAGGGTACTGAGCTCGTGAAGGGGCTTCCCTGTAGATTTATACATTGACTGTTCGCATTTGTTGATGAACCAAGGGTGACTAAGAAATCAGGGTGTCTATGCAGGAAAACTGCAAGAGGGTTGTACTTTACCATGCAGGACCTGTCGGGGTTGCGCGCTCATGCTTTCCCCCGAAATCCACGTTGTACCAACAAACCAGCCCTTCAACCCCTGCATATGTGGTGATCATGCCACCTACATTACCTTCCTCCTCGAACAGTCCCGGGCCTGCCTCGAATCCATATTCCTGCAACCATGGCGAAGGCCGTCGACAAGCGTCAGGCATACAGCATTATCGGACTTGCCGCACTGCAGGTGACTGCAGACGCCGTGGGAGGGTCTAGTGGAGTTCCGTATGGGAACTCGTGCTCTGCCAAGGGCACTGGAGTCGGGAGACCACTCTTCATGTTGGAGAAAGGGCTCATGCTCTCGGTACTCGAGCGTCAGGGCTCCCGTCTCCACCTGCACATTCGGCCGCCCACGGATTTGCCGGTACTCTACTTCCTTCCCTGCCTTACCCATTCTTCTTCACCACAAACAGGTCATTTTCCAGGTCGTCATCGGCGCCGTGACGGGCACCAAGCTCGACCAAGGGGATCTGTGCCAGCTCAACCTCGACCCACAGAGCGGCCGGGTGTGCGATTTCGTGTACAACACCGTGGGCTTCGGCCTGCTGTTCTCCCTCATCCTGATTGGTACAGTGGTGAGTGGGGGTTGTTTTCGGGACTGGGGTCTGTGTAGAGGCTCTGTGCTGCTTGCTGCACAGCTTCCTGGAGAACTGGGGCTGGCCAAACGCCCCAATGGCCCTTGTGGCGAGGTGATCTGTGGGCTCCTCCCTCACAACAACCACTCCCTCCTTCACGGCAACCACTTCTGCCCGCACTTCACCCCTGATGTGTTTGCCTCTCCCCCTCCCCGACAGTACTATACCCTAGCCAAAGCCCGTCCCGGGACCCTCACGGCAGGGGCCACCATCGGCCTGGCCGCCTACGCTTTCTTCTGGTACCTGGTGTTCTCCATCACCATCTCCATCCGCGGCCGGCAGGCGACCGATGCTGGGCAGCCTGGCACCGTGGACCGTAACACTGTGGTGGGCCTGTCCTGGATCGTGACCTTTGCATTCCTGGCCATCGCCATCCTGGCCATCTGGGAGCGCCACGTGAACAAGCTGCCCGTGGTGGACGATGAGCTCAAACGCTCCTTCCTGTACAAGGTGGAGAAGGTGTCCTCCAGTGGCTCCGGCAACTCGCCCAAGGCTGCGGCCGAGGTGGAGTCGCGGTCCCTGTCCACCGTCCAGGAGGCGCATGAGGGGCTGAAGGCCAGGCCCCAGTGAGGGGCGGCGCTGTGATGGAGGGGCCAGTCGGGCGCCGGTGGGTCCCGCGTAGGGCTTTACGACCTACCCCCTTCCTGAAGCTTGACCCGGTCGGGTCGATCCTGCAGCGCCCAGCTCCGAAAACCGAGGCTCAAGACGAAACTCACCAGTGTTACTACTATGTTCCTGCTCTGCGTATGTGCTCTGTATGTTTGAAGCAGCTATGACGCTCCTGAGCACATGCCCCTTGCCCGTTGCCGCGCGTGCCTGTTCCATGAGGCATGTCCCCCTATGTATTACATCTCTCATGAAGTCTTTCTGTGTCGAAATTGGGTGATGCGGTCTGGCCAGGGAGATTTCGGCGGAATTGCAGTTGGCAGAGAAGGGTCGAGGGTTGCCTGGCGGTGTTGTGTATAACTCGAGGGTTATGGCAGCACGTGGTCGTCCCCCTTCAGGCGCGCTTGCGAGCAGGCAATGGTTATATACCTCGGCAAGCACACGCCAGACGTGTGAACTGGCCAATGTCCGAGTCGTGATCGTGTGACCGCCTTGCTATTAATACAATTTCGATGGGACGCGCTGCGAAGTGCGGAAATGCTGGTGAGAGTGTACATACCTAGCTCTGAGCTCGGTTAGATCTGTGTACATGATGAGTCGCTTGGCCAATGTGGGTGGCCCCATCTCACGCTATTCAATAAATGCTGAGTGTTACATTACAGGCCTTTTGCATTTGAGTGTCGCATTCCTCATTGGTGTACAGACTCGGCGCCGTCCGGTCCGGGTGGTGCTCTGAAAGGAGCAGTAGCGGTCAAGGTTCGGCACATCTTGTGCGAGAAGCAGAGTAAAGCATTGGAGGCTCTCTCCCTCATCCAGGCTGGGGAGCCATTCGATAAGGTGTCAAAGGATGGCACTTTTAGATGGCTGGACTACAGCAGGGGCATGCCATCTGTGCGTCCCAGCATCTTCATGACCGGCTGGTACGACTCGCTCTTCTTCCCACTCCCCAGGTGGCCAGAGAAGTGAGTGAGGACAAGGCCAGACAAGGAGGCGACTTGGGGTGGAAGACACGCAAGGAGGTTGTCGCATCCTTTGCTGACGCTGCATTCGCCCTGAATGTAAGTAGAGGCGCAAAAGCGCCCCATTCTGATTTATTGATGGTTCTTTGGCATGTTAAGTTCCCAATACCTGATCCTCACTTCTCACACGCGTTCTGTGCAGGTGGGGGAGATGACACGGCAACCTGTCCGGACCGAGTTTGGATATCACTTGATCCTCTGTGAGGGGAGGAAGTAGAGTCGGTGACGCACATCCAGCAGCACTTGCATCTTCTGTCCATCCACATAGAATGACGGATCCCAGCACTGATTGAACCTATGCCAGCGATGTTTGATGACTGATACTTTCAAAAAGGCCGCACAGCACCTGACTTGTGTGGAATGATTTTGTCTCCACACCATGTTGAAGTGACAGTTTCCTGTTTACCAGCTCTTGAAAGTGTCAAGCGTACTCTGCTGAGTTCTTTGCAGCGTTGGACAATGTTGCTGAGGACTCTCACCCAGATGAACTTTCAGATTCTGGACACAGAATGTATGGGTGCACGATTTGCCCTTTCCATCATTTCTGGTGAACTCAGCACGGCGCTGGCAGTGCCCATGGCACAGTCATGGAAGTGATTCTGGCATCATTGTCTGTCTATAATGGTGTGCTTGCCTCTTTGGAGAACTTCAAGCCCTCCTCCAATGAGAAGAGGCTGTGCAGGGCGTATAACAGTGCGTGCCGTGCATGCTCACCAAGGCCTCACCGCTGAGGCTCGACGTAAAATCTTAGACTAAGGTATGGTGCCACCATTGCGCATCGGACCGAATTGACTTCAGAAAATCGGATTGACTCCTCGGTAACTCTATAAAAATGGACCTGAGAATGGCAGGGAGCCGCATCCACCCCAACTCGCACATCGTTGCGCGCGATTCCGACACTGCATCCATTCAGCGCAAGAGTGGCACAGCTGATACGTACAGACCAAGAAGCCATTGCTGAGACCAGCAACAAGAAAAATGTATCAACCACACCCTTCTTTGTGAATGTGATCTCTGATCGTGCTCGACAGCATGCTGGGAGGTGTGCGTGTTGTATCCAGGGACGAGGTCGAAGAGCGGGCCGCAACTGAGAAACGAGCAAAAAAGAAGCATTCCTCGAATAAGAAGAAAAAGGAGAAGAAGGTGTGCTTGCGGGGGATGTGGGGTGGGTCGGTGCTACATTCGCCGGTCCTTGCACAATGCTCAGGTCCGTCTCGGTCTTCCTGGGTGTCGTGCAGGAGAAGAGAGACAAGCACGAGGGAAAAGGCTCTCATCGCGTGAGCAGCAGCGATGAGGAGAGGTCAGAGGCTCCTGCGCCCAACTCCGCCGGCCTCGTCAGGGAGGATTGGATGACAACCCCAGCGCCGGCCGCAGCAGGTCCACCCGCATCAGACAAGGCCCCAAAGGAGTCCCAGAGGGAGGACCCTGACGCAGTCAAGATCCATGTGAGAAGGGCTGGCGTCGTTGCACGGAAGGTGCCATGGCTTCCCCCATCTCCTGGACATGTTGCTGCAGATTGCAGCACGCCGGGCCTCCTTTCCATCCCCTGATCACGGCCTCCTCAATGGCAACAGGCGCGAGAGCTGAACCCCTACCTCCGAGACGGTGGCAGCGGCGTCCCGGAGGAGGGCGAACCTCCCCCGCCCAGGGCTCGAGGGGTGGCGGATGGCGGTGCCAGCTGGCGCCTGAAGGCACTCCAGCGAGCCAAGGCCGCCGCGGCTGCAGAGGTGGGCGGCTGGGCGGTGGTGCACGGCTGGGTTGCTGCGAGGACCGCCGCAGGGCTCTGGCCCAGCGGCTGTGATGTGGGGCGAGGAGTTGAGTGTGCAGCTGACCACCGCCTTCCCACCCCTCGCAGGGCAAGGACTTCCGCGCCGAGGTGGCGGAGCGCTGGGGTTCTGTGGCCGAGCTCACCACAGGCCTGCAGTCGCACAGGGCTGCCCACGGTGAGGCAGCAGAGTAATTAGGATGGGACGGGGGCAGGGCATCTCCCGGCGCGCCGGAAACGCCAAGGCGCCTGGCTGTGACGGCATGCCACCGGCTCTGGCCTCTTGGGTGTGGACTCAATTCATGCACCCCATGTCTGCAGGCAACGCCCACCTGCACGCCGCCAGGGACCGCTCGCGCGCCAGCGGGGGCGGGGACAGGCCGGGCCGGGGCCGCGGCGACTACCTGGATGACGTGCGGAGCGACCGCAGCCAGATGAAGAGGCCAACGGATGCCGGTGCCGCGGGTCTGAGCTGGAGGTGGGCGTGGCGGAGGCCTGTATGCCTCGGAGAGTGGGCACTGGTGGAGTATGATCCGCAGCATGCTGGTCTCATGCCACTTTGGTGGGGGGCAGGCATACCTAGTAGCGGGGCGGGGTGGGGATGGAGCTCAAGAATCGTGTCGTAAACCCCGGCAGGAAGGAGCAGCGGGATGGGGCGGCGGGCTCCGCGCAGCGGCAAGGACCTGCGGGACGGGACGGCGTCGGGGGCCGGAGCGCAAGCGCTGCAGAGGCAGCGCCGCAACGAGGGCCGCTCTCGCCTGCCGAGCGGCCGGGCGGAGCCGGCAAACCCGGGTCGGACCGGGCCCCCTCGGGCGGCCCCAAGCACGAGGCGCGAGTCCAGCGGCCGAGTCGGCCGCCGCTACGGCACGCGCAGCAGGCGGAGCTGCTGTCCTCGGCGGCGCGCGCCCTCAATGCCTTTGCCGACGATGGAAGCTTCATGGCCGGCCTTGCTCGCGGCGGCGACGGCGGCGGCGGGGCGGCGCCCGCAGCGCGGCAGAATGCGAACTCAGGCCTGGCGACGGCGAGATCAGAGACGCCGGGGCCGAGGAGTCGCACCCCCTCGCCCTCGCCACCCGCCCCTGCCCGGCCAGCTCCCACGCCAGTGGCGCCGGAAAGGCCGCCGGCAGCCGCCGGGAACCTGGGCGCCGCAGCCGCCCTGCGCGCGCGCCTGCTCGGCCGGCCGCTCCCCGCCGCCGTGCCTGAAGGAGTGCAAGGTGCTGATGCCGTCGAGGCGCTGCCCCTGGTGGACGCGCGGGGCCGCGCCGTGCCTGGCGCCTTTGGCCGCGAGGTGGCCGGCGCCGGCGCCGTGCCGGCAGGTCAGGGCGTGGGTTGGTTGAGGTGCTATGGGCGAATGATGGCAGAAGGGAATTAGTTCTGGGCTGGGGCCTGGGGCCCAGCGCACGCCGTGCCTTCGATCCGACAGACTATGCCCGACACTGGCCTCGAGGCAATGGGCTGGCTTGCGCGCCCTGCCAGTTAGCAAGGCATGCAGCCCGTGACGCCGCGCCCTCCTCACACACCTACCCCCCCCCACACGCCCAGGCAAACGCCCGGCCAGGAAGCTGGAGCGGTACGAGGCGGGCCAGCGCAGCCGCTACTTCGCGGACGACGATGCCGCAGACCTGGCCACGCTGGTCAAGCGCGCCAAGCACGGCGGGGAGGCCGACCTGGATCGCAGCCTGGCCGCGGGCATTGCGCGCTCCGCGCGGTACAAGGCCACCGACCTCGACCCCGGTATGGAGAGAGAGGGAGAGGTTTGTGGGGGAGGGGGCAAGCAAGACCGGGCAGCCCTGCCGGCTGGCGATGATGGGGTGAGTGCATTCTGGGGTCTATGTCTGCCTGGCTCTGGATGATGCACGCCCCCGAAGCAGCCA